GGGCCGGCCCTAAAACTGGAAATTTTGTTTTGATATTTTTGTTAAAATATTTTCCACCAAGACACACAGACACACAGACACACAGAGACACACACACACTCCAACCATGCAACCAATCCAGTTTAACAGTCCTATTTATCACATATACAATAATGAATGTTAACTTAGTTCCGAGTGGTACATCATTAAAAAAAGACATACCTTTTAGATGAAATGCTATATATAGTAGTGCAGATCTCCTTATACTTAAGAAGGGAAATTTGGGCTTTAAGCATCCTGCTGCATTCATTGCTTTAATTAGAGAAGTTGCAATACCCTGTAGACAGGGAACAATTTAAAAATCATGTGTATATTGGAGTTTGGATTCTTTTCTTAGTGCAAATAGGTAGAGAAGCTTATTTCTTGCCTCAAATGGCCTCCTAGGGTTGAGGATGGGGCTTATAAAGATGGTTAGGTGACCAATGGAAAGAAACACAAAATACATTTGATTAGGAAAACTAAAAACTACAAACTGGCTTAGTGCCAGCTGGGTGGTTGGTATATGTGTGGGCTTTATCAGGCAATTCTCTCTATTTTTATATGTTGACATTTTCCCTATAACAAAAAGTTTAAAAAGAAAAAAGAGAGTGGGCTTGGAGTAGTCTTGGCCCATATCTGCTTCCATTCTCAGAACTGGCCAGATTGCCTCCCACTATGAGGACCTTTGGCCACCCGACAAGGAATTTGAGAGACCATCGTTAATACTGCAGTCAAGGTTCTGAGGCCCAGAAGAAGGAAAGAGGTCCTCCTGATAAAATGTGGCTTCTATGAGAACACTACTCTCTGGGTGAGCCTTGTCTGGCATTTTGATGTTAAACCAGTCTAAAGGCTAACCTTCTAGGCTAGGTGAAAAAACAAAATGGTTAAGAATTTGTGACAAAGTTCTATTTTTCCCTAAGGCATTTATTTTGTAGAAAATTTTTTAAAAGATTTAAAATAGTAGTTGGTGACTGATAAGTTTTACTATTTTTAAAAAGTGTTATATTTGCCCCATATCTGCCAAAAAAAATTATATTTGGATAAATAAAATGTGACTTAGCAGATAGCTTCATTTGGATTTGGAGCAAAATATGGGCTTTGTGGTTCAGCTGTCATAGCGCTGCAACTGAACTCTTTTGAGTAGGTATTGAACCTCTCAAGAGACTGAATTTGCACATTTCAAATTATGGAAAAGTTTTGCAGACATAGAAATTCAAAAATAAATACCAAACTACGCGTCCAAGTCAAATGTAAATAATTTTATGATCTACTCTCTTTTCATTTTAGTGCAGATATTTGGGGATTAGCTATGGAAGCAGTGGATTCTCGCATGTTTTATTTTAACAACCACCCATAAACAGAACAGGTTAAGAGTGAATTTGCAGATTAAAGTTAGAAAACTTTGCTTTGAATTTCATTGTTATCAAAGTAGAAATTATTGCTAAAAAGAAGAGATTGTTGTACTCTTCTAATATCACAGAAAATCATGTAACTGAACCTGTTCCAGATATCCAGGCAAAGGAAGACTAGTGAGACATATCGGTTCCTTTAATGGGGGAAGTTTGTGTGGAAGCCTCTGATCCCAGTATTTCAGTGGTGACCTGAGAACACAAGTTTATTAGATGGATACTCAAAAATACACTCATTGTGTACATATAGGAATGCAGATATACAAGAGACAATTAAAAGATAAAGTTCAATACTTCTTTTTCTCCACTGGAGAAAATTATACAAGTGGCAAGACTGGGGCTCCTGGAAGTTCCCGGCCACCCATTTCACCTGGGTCCTCAGCCTTGCTCATCTGTTCTCGATTTTCTTATTTTTCACAGCAACTATATAAAACTTTTCTTTATTCTCCTCAAACTTTTGACTCTCCCAAGTACTCCCCTTCACCCTTCCAGGCAGATGCCATAGTATACATAGAGAAGCCATCAGGACGAAATTTCCTCAGCTGCTCACTCAACACAAGCAGAACAACACAAGCAGAACCACACACGGTCCTCTTTCCACAGTGGAGGCACCTCCCGCCGAAGACCAGTCCCCACCCATACTTTGGATCCCCACCGCTCCCTTTCCCAGGCATCTTACTACAGCAATTTCTCTCTCCCTGTCCCCCGCACCTGTGGTTTTCCTGCTTTGTTGCATCTTTCCCATGCATCTGCATTTAAACATGCTCATAATTCCCGCATTTAAAAAGGAAAGAAAAGAAAAACCATCTTCGCTTCTTCAGTCCTATATCCCTTCCAGCAACTAAGGTCTCTTCTCTTCTTACAGTTAAACTTCTTCCTACAGGGAGCTTTGATAGTGATTGCAAGCCACCTCACAAATTCTATCTGCAGATATGATTTGATCCATGTGGTATTTTATTCTTAAATTTGGATCAGTCATGTATGTCTAAAAATCAGAAAAATTAAACAAAAAAATTGGGTTTCAACCTGTTGTGGAAAACAGAAATGTCCAGCAGATGAGTAGCTGCCGCTCCTTTAGATGGGGCAGGTGCAGTCCGGTTGGGGGCAGCCCCCACCACTCCTACTGTTCCACATCCACTGCTTCCCTCAGCTGCTTCACCTCCTGGCTGCTGGAGGCATCTGTTTGTCACCTCTGGGCTGCAGCCAAGGTCTTAATTTCTTGCCTCTCATCCACTCCCAGGAGCTCTAGTTGACTTCCACTTACCTTCCTGTACTGAACCACTCTTGCCAAAATCACATAATGACCAGCTACAACCTAAATGTCACATGCTTTTCAGCCCTTGCCTGCGTGACCTCTGGGCAGCATTTGAACCTGTTTGCCATGCCATCCCAGAGACTTTCTCTCTCCTCTCTGTCTTCTGGAGCCTCCCCATCCCGGTCCTTTCACCTCTTTGTGGTTCTTCTTTTCCAGCCTCCCTCGTAAGTTCTTCTTGTGACATTCCTGTGGTGTTTCTGAGGGTTTGGTCTCAAACCTGCTGCTTTTCCCACACTACTCTTCATGGGTGAGCTCAGACATTCCATGTGATTTTGGACAGGATTACTTTAATGGCCTCATAACTGGTATTCCTACCTCCATCCCATTATCAACCACCCAGTGGTCTCACTCCACAGCAAATTTGATGATAACACTGACCTAACTTAAAACCAGTCAATGTACTCCTATTGCCCTTAGGGTCAAGTTCAGATGCCTCATGGTGGTTTTACTTGATCTTCCATACTTTGGCCCTGCTCTCCACCTGCAGCCTCAGCTTTGCTCCTTTCCCTCTCCACATCACATCCAGCCATGCTGAATTTCTTGCAGTTTAGTGATCCCCTGGGCCAGGTTTGTTTGTAGCCAACAAGTTCAGATGCCTCATGGTGGTTTTACTTGATCTTCCATACTTTGGCCCTGCTCTCCACCCGCAGCCTCAGCTTTGCTCCTTTCCCTCTCCACATCACATCCAGCCATGCTGAATTTCTTGCAGTTTGGTGATCCCCTGGGCCAGGTTTGTTTGTAGCCAGTCCCACTCCTCATCCAGTCCTCACCCCAACAGACAATTCAGTCAGACCTTTGGACAGCACTNCTTCACCTCCTGGCTGCTGGAGGCATCTGTTTGTCACCTCTGGGCTGCAGCCAAGGTCTTAATTTCTTGCCTCTCATCCACTCCCAGGAGCTCTAGTTGACTTCCACTTACCTTCCTGTACTGAACCACTCTTGCCAAAATCACATAATGACCAGCTACAACCTAAATGTCACATGCTTTTCAGCCCTTGCCTGCGTGACCTCTGGGCAGCATTTGAACCTGTTTGCCATGCCATCCCAGAGACTTTCTCTCTCCTCTCTGTCTTCTGGAGCCTCCCCATCCCGGTCCTTTCACCTCTTTGTGGTTCTTCTTTTCCAGCCTCCCTCGTAAGTTCTTCTTGTGACATTCCTGTGGTGTTTCTGAGGGTTTGGTCTCAAACCTGCTGCTTTTCCCACACTACTCTTCATGGGTGAGCTCAGACATTCCATGTGATTTTGGACAGGATTACTTTAATGGCCTCATAACTGGTATTCCTACCTCCATCCCATTATCAACCACCCAGTGGTCTCACTCCACAGCAAATTTGATGATAACACTGACCTAACTTAAAACCAGTCAATGTACTCCTATTGCCCTTAGGGTCAAGTTCAGATGCCTCATGGTGGTTTTACTTGATCTTCCATACTTTGGCCCTGCTCTCCACCTGCAGCCTCAGCTTTGCTCCTTTCCCTCTCCACATCACATCCAGCCATGCTGAATTTCTTGCAGTTTAGTGATCCCCTGGGCCAGGTTTGTTTGTAGCCAATCCCACTCCTCATCCAGTCCTCACCCCAACAGACAATTCAGTCAGACCTTTGGACAGCACTTTCCCAGAGCTTCAGGCATTTCTCCTCCCTAAACCCCACCACACTCTGTTATTATCAGGTAGTTAAAATCTATTTTACCCTGGACCTCCGGTTGTGGGATGGCCGGGACCAACCCTTATTCATCATCACACCCTCACTGGCGTGCGCGCGCACACACTCCTCCCCTCCCCAGTTTCCAGCATGTTGCATGGGACATAGAAGATATTCAATAAATTTGTGACTTAGTGAATGGTCTCACCTCAAAAATTTCTGGAGTTTTTCTTTACTCTCACAAATATATATACGATTACGAAACTCTAAAGCATATTTAATGTTACCAGGCACTAGGGCTTCATATCTGAAAGACCAAAAAAACAAAAAACCCTATTGTATAATTAACATGCAGTACTGTGTAAATAAAATGTCAAAAATGTTTTATTTTTCTTCCTATGCAGCTCAAGAAATAAATGGAACATTTTTCCAATTAAACAATAGTGACCTTTTGGCGAAATGTTAAGATTGTTATATGAATCACTTATTCTGTACTTGCCTTTGTTTTCCATCCTGGTATGTCACTGGACAGTAGCCCTGGAGCTCAGCACACTTAGGAAATCGACTCTTTAGCTCTGACAGTGTCAGCTTTTGGGGCATCATGTCAGCAGATGGGAGTGAAAAAGGTGCTAGGGGAGGCACATACAATTCTGGGTTGTCCAAGAATTTCTATTAAAAAAGGATTACAGTAGCAAGACCATTTAAAACAGGAATTCTATGCCAATCAAAAATCCATTGAGGTTCTCCTGCTTCCCTCCCCATTTTCAGTAGCAGTGTTCTGCCCTTCATACCATCCGAGAGCTTCTCCCTGCACTATAACTACTTCTCTGATCAGAAGTTCCCTACAATGTACTCCAAGTGATCACATTTTCTAATCTCACTCATTCATTAATTCGCACAACCCTGCACTATAACTACTTCTCTGATCAGAAGTTCCCTACAATGTACTCCAAGTGATCACATCTCCTAATCTCACTCATTCATTAATTCGCACAAAAAAAAAATTGTTTTGAGCTCCTACTGTGTGACAAGCACTGGAGAGTCACCTGCTAATCCTACCTTCCTGTCCTGGAGTATAATTCACTAGTGGGTGCCCTAGTGCATGTGAGTTAATGTCTCCAGTTATCACTCTGTAAAATGGAGGTGGCAGACCAGATACATGATCTCTAATGTCACTTCCAGTTTTAAAATTCTGTGACTACCATTTAAATAAGCAGGGAGAAATAAATGTCTCCTTAATAAGGAGATAAAAAAATCTAATTCCCAGAGGAAAATAAAATGTTCAGAGACATCTGATTGGTTTTCATTATTGTTTTCAACTACTAACCCTTCTATATCATCAAATTATGGACAATGGAATGTCAGAACAAACTCATATTCTGTTCTACGAAACAGAAATATAACGTATATGGGGAATCCTAGTGATAGGGAACATTTTTAAAGCCAGAAGACATACATCATCTCTTGATTCATTTCTACTGATTGTGACTTCCCTTCTGCAGCCCATGAAGTTGAGTCCCCTGGATGCCCACGTGGGGCTAAGCCCTTGATGTTCAGCTTCTCTGCTATTGGTGGGGTTCACCATTGGCTCTCCCTACCTGTTGGGCTGGCTCATGCCAAGGGCCCATCACTGATTCTGGACTTCTGCTATGTTTCAAGATATGTCCTGGGATGCAATCTCAGGACTGACCTCTGAGGTGCCTCACTGGTCCCAGAGTCACAGGTTCCAATAATGGGGCTCCTGGTGTCAAGTTTCTGGGTGTTCTCAGCTATACCCACCCCTTCTTATTTGATGAATTCCAAGATAAGTCATTTTCCTTCCTTAGTAAATACTACAGTTAGGAACAAACTTACATTCAGTTTTTCCTGAGAACTCATTTTATAATACTGCCCCCTGAACTCTGCTGCAAATTCCAAGGACTCTGTTTCAGAGCAGTCAAAAAATTCATATGATTCTGCCAGGCTGACAGGGCAGAACTGTCCAAATTCTCCCAGGCGAGAAATCAGTTCTTGAGGGGTGATACATAACTTGTCAATGCAGGCGGCTTTTCCTATTATGAACATATTAACTATTATATATATATTTTTTTCATAGAATACACAATGATTCCAAAAATTAAAATAATTTCAACTACACAGCATCGTACAAATACATATTCATTATAAAATTCCAAACAATAGAGCAAAAAGTAAAAGTTACTGTTCATACCTCCATCCTCTCCATCCAACACCCCTTCTGAGAGCTAATCACTGTTGGGTTTGTATTCTTTTCAGTCTTTTTTCTATACATTTTTGCATATAGTATGCTTATGTCACCATACAGTAAACATTATTCTGCAACTTGCTTTAAACAATTAGTTATAGTCTTTGATATCTTTCCATTTCAGTTTATATGACTTACTTAATTCTTTTAATTGATGCATAGTATTCCACTGTATAAATACACATATAGTTTACTTAACTATTTATCTATTGATGAATATTTTGGTTGTTTAAGTTCTTAGCTATTAGATATATATATATATGTTATAAATAATAACTATATGTTATAAACAGTATTTATATATACACACAATTAATATATGAGTGTGTGGGCATGTATATATACATACATATATACACACTCGTACCCATTCTCACACACACATATATAAATTGCCTATATAGGGTCAGATAGATAGACACAGGTAGATACAGACTGAAGAATGACATGAAAAGACATAGAGACAGACAGACACACAGAGAGAATGCCATATGATGACAGAGGCAGAGATTGGACTGATGCATCTATAAGCCAAGGAACACTGAGGATTGCTGGCAATGCTAGAAACTAAGAGAAAGGCATGAAACAGGTCTTCCCCTAGAATCTTCACAGAGCATGGGCATGGCCCTGCCAATCCTTGATTTTGGACTTCTAGCCTCCAGACTGTGAGACGATAAATTTTTGTTGTTTAAGCCACTCTGTGGTATTTTGTTACAGCAGCCCTAAGAAACTAAAACAATTAGAAAAGATTGTAACTTCTGTCTTGGCATTCTTTCTTGCCTTTTCAGTTTGGGCACTTGATAAGGCAAGCTGCCATGTTGGAGAGGTCCACAGGGCAGGAAACTGAGGGTGGCCTCTGGCCAACAGCCAGAAGAAACTGAGGCCCTTAGTCCAATAACCCTCAAGCCACTGGATCTTGTCAATGACACATGTGTAAGAGTGGTAGTGGATTCTTTCTCAGAGGAGCCTTCAGAAGACGTCTATAACCCCGGCCAATATCTTGACTGTAACCTTGTGAGAGACTCTCAGTTAAACTGTCCAGATTCCTGACCCATGGCAACTCTGTGGGGCTATATGTGTGTGTGTATTATTTTAAGCTGCTAAATTTTGTACTAATTTGTTATACAGGAATAGATAATTAATATACTTTCTATCTGTTGTTTATAACACCCATGAAAAGGCTAGGAAACCCCAGAATTTATTTCCTACAAAGAATATTACACCACTATAATACTATAGTGGTGTAATATTATTCTAAAGTGTTGTAATATATAGTACTATATATGTTACAGAGTAATAACATAGAGTATTATTAAAGTATATAGTATTATTATAGAGTTATAATGTTATGTTTGAGATACTATGGCATTATAATACTATATATTCCTAGGTTGCTTTTCAGCTCAGATGTGCTGAACTTCACCAATCCTGACAGGTTTAGTGGCTGGGTAATTTAGAATTAAATGACTTCAAGTCTCAAAAGACAATCAAACATCTCTTTTTCTAATCCTTGGGATAGTCTTGATGACATCTAGAAAGGTCTGTATATCCTATTCTGAATGAGGAGGAATCTCTTTAATCTTCTTTTTTTTTTATTGGTTATGAATATTCATGGTGTCTCAAAAGACAATCAAACATCTCTTTTTCTAATCCTTGGGATAGTCTTGATGACATCTAGCAAGGTCTGTATATCCTATTCTGAATGAGGAGGAATCTCTTTAATCTTCTTTTTTCTTTTTATTGGTTATGAATATTCATGGTACACAGAGCTGATTGTCACGCCTTGTGCCCAAGATGTGAAGGCCAGATCCGTACTGGCAGCATGCCCATTACCACATATTTTGTTTGTACCCTGTGTCCCCATCCAATTATCCCCAACTTCCCTCTTTCATCCCCTTCCCCCCTGACTCCACTTTGTATCCCAAGGTATGTTCTCTCCCTCTGTAAGTCCAACACACCACTGTGGTCTTTCTTTCCTTCCTACTTTCTCTCTTAGCTCCAAGTTATGAGTGAGTACATGTGGTATTTATCCCTCTGTGCTTTGCTTATTTCATTCAACGTAAGTTTCTCCAGGCTCATCCATGTTGTTGCAAATGGGAGAATTTCATTCTTTTTTATGGCAGAGTAGTATTCCATTGTGTGTATATACCACAGTTCCCTTGTCCGGTCATCTGTTGATGGACATTTAAGTTGGTTCCATGTCCTGGCTATTGTAAATAGAGCTGTGATAAACATGGGAATGCAGGTAGCTCTTCGACATGATGATTTCCATTCCTTTGGGTAAACACCCAGAAGTGGGATTGCTGGATTGTATGAAACACCTATCTGTAGGTGTTTGAGAAACCTCCATACTGTTTTCCATAGTGGTTGTACTAATTTACAGTCCCACCAACAGTGCAAGAGCTTTCCTTTCTCTCCACACCCTCGCCAGCATTTGTAATTCACCGTCTTTTTGATTATAGCCAATCTAACTGGGGTGAGGTGGTATCTCAGTGTAGTTTTAAACCTGTAGGTTGTTGTTTCACTCTGTTGATTGTTTCCTTTGCTGTGCAGAAGGTTTTTAGTTTGATATAGTCCCATTTGTTTATTTTTTCTTTTGCTGCTTGTGCTTTTGGGCTCATGTTCATAAAGTCTGTGCCAAGACCTAGTTCCTGCAGTGTTTCACCTATATTTTCCCTTAGTAATTTTACAGTTTCAGGTCTTATACTTAAGTCTTTAATCCATTTTGAGTTGATTTTAGTATACGGTGAGAGGTACATATCTAGTTTCATTCTTCTGCATATGAATATCCAATTTTCCTAGCACCACTTGTTGCAGAGGCAATCTTTTCCCCAATGTAGATTTTTGTTGCCTTTGTCCAATATCAGATGGCTGTAAGCTTGAGGGGTGATTTCTGGGTTCTCAATTCTGCTCAGCTGGTCTGAGTGTCTATTTTTATGCCAGTACCATGTTGTTTTGGTTACAATAGCTTTGTAGTATAATTTAAAGTCAGGTAGTGTTATGCCTCTGGCTTTATTGTTTTTGCTCAGGATTGTTTTGGCTATTTGGGTTTTTTTTTTTCCATATGAAAGTTAAGACTGTTTTTTCCATTTCTGTGAAGCATGTCATGGGTATTTTGATGGGGATTGCATTGAATCTGTAGATCACTGGGTAGTATAGATACTTTCACAATGTTAATTCTTCCAATCCAAGAGCATGTAATATCTTTCCATAATTCTTCCAATCCAAGAGCATGTAATATCTTTCCATTTTTTGTGTCTTCCTTAATTTCTTTCAGAAGTGGTTTGTAGTTCTCATTGTAGAGATCTTTCACCTCCTTGGTTAAATTGATCCCTAGGTATTTTATTTTTTTCATGACAATTGTAAATGGGCTTACTTTCTTTATTTCTCTGTTAGTTCATTATTTGAGTATATAAATGTGACTGATTTGGTGGCACTTACTTTGTATCCTGCAATGATACTGAAGTTATTAACTAGCTCTAGAAGTTTTTTTGATAGAGTCTTTAGGTTTTTCTAGATATAGTATCATGTCATCTGCAAATAGAGACAGTTTGACTTCATCTTTTCCAATCTGGATTCTCTTTATTTCTTTCTCTTGTCTGATTGCTCTCGCTAGTACCTCCAGTACTATGTTAAATAGAAGTGGTGAGAATGGGCATCCTTGTCTTGTTCCTCTTCTTAAGGGAAAGGCACTCAGTCTTTCCCCATTCAGAATGATACTGGTGGTGGGCTTGTCATAAATGTCTTTTATTGTGTTGAGATACTTCCCTTCTAAACCTAATACATTGAGAGTCTTTATCGTGAAGGGATGTTGAATTTTGTCAAATGCTTTTTCAGCATCTATTGAGATAATCATATGATCTTTATCCTTGAGTTTGTTGATGTGATGTATCACATTTATTAACTTTCATATGTTGAACCATCCTTGCATCCCTGGAATAAATTCTGCTTGACCATGGTGTATAATTTTCTTGACCATTGTGTATAATGTGTTGCTGTATTCTGATTGCTAATATTTTGTTGAGGATTTTTGTGTCTATGTTCATCAAGGATATTGGCTTGTAATTTTCTTTTTTTGTTGTGTCTTTATCTGGTTTTGGTATCAGAGTTATGTTGGCATCATAGAATGAGTTTGGGAGAGTAGCTTCTGTTTCAATTGTTTGGAACAGTTTGAGAATTGGTATTAAGTCCTTTTTGAAAGTTTGATAGAATTCAGCTCTAATGCCATCTGGACCTGGACTTTTCTTTGTTGGAAGATTGCTGATTACTACTGCAATCTCATTGCTTGTTATTGGTCTGTTCAGGTTTTCTATCTCTTCTTGGTTCAGTCTGGGTAGTTTGTATGTATCTAGAAACTTATCCATATCTTCCATATTTTCATATTCATTGTCATACAGTTGTTTATAAAAATCTCTAATGATTCTTCGTATTTCTGTGGTATCAGTTGTAATGTCTCCCTTTTCACTTCTGATTTTTGTTATTTGGGTCTTCTCTTTTCTTTTTCTTTTTTCTTTTTGTTAACCTAGCTAATGGTTTGTCTATTTTATTTACCTTCTCGAAAAACCAACTTTTTGTTTCATTGGTCTTTTCTATGGCTTTTTGGGTCTCTATTTCATTTAGTTCTGGTCTGATCTTAATTATTTCTTTCCATCTACTACCTTTAGGTCTGTATTGTTGTTTTTCAAGTTCTTTGAGGTATAATGTTAGGTTGTTTATTTGAAGTCTTTCTGTTCTTTTGATGTAAGCATTTATTGCAATAAACTTGCCTCTTAGTATTGCTTTTGCAGTGTCCCACAGGTTTTGGTCTGGTGTATCTTTATTTTCATTAGTTTCAAGAAATTTTTTTATTTCCTGTTTAATTTCTTCCTGGACCCATAGGTCATTCAGGAGCCTACTGTTTAGTTTCCACATATTTGTATACTTTCCAGTGTTTTACTCATTATTAATTTCTAGTTTTAGTCCATTTTGGTCTGAAAAGATACTTGGAATGATTTGAATTTTTTAAAATTTGCTGAGACTAGATTTGTGACCTAATATGTGGTCTATCCTGGAGAATGTTCTATGAGCTGATGAGAAGAAAGTGTATTCTTTAGTTGTTGGGTGAAATGTTCTGTATATATCTGCCAGATCCAGTTGGTTTAAGGTGTAGATTAAATCCTGTGTCTCTTTGTTGGTTTGTTGCCTGGAAGATCTGCCCCGTACTGAGAGAGGGGTGTTCAGATCACCCACTATTAATGTATTAGGGCCTATTTCTTTCTTTAGGTCTAACAGGTTTGCTTTATATATCTGGGTGCTCCAGTATTGGGTGCATATATATTTATGATTGTTATGTCTTCTAGCTGGATAGATCCTTTTATCATTATATAGTGGCCTTCTTTGTCTCTTTTTATGTTCCTTGGTTTAAAGTCTATTTTGCCTGATAGAAGAATAGCTACCCCTGCTCATTTTTGGTTTCCATTTGCATGGTATATCTATTTCTATCCCTTCACTTTTAGTCTGTGTGTGTCTCTACAGGTGAGGTGGGTCTCATGAAGATCGCATATACTTGGCTCTAGCTTTTTAATCCAGTCAGTCAGTCTGTGTCTTTTGAATGGGGAGTTTAATCCATTCACATTTCGGGTAGTTATTGACAAATATTGTTTAATTCCTGTCATTTAATTGCTTCTTGTTTATATGAATTAAGTATCTTTTGATCATTACTTCCCCTTTTATTTCTCTTCTTTAATGTTATTTGGAAATTTAAGGTAGAATGAGTTAACTTCTTTCTCTTCCTCATTGGCATTTTTGTTTTAACAGTGGGTTTTGCTCTTTCTTGTGTATTTGTGATAGTGCTCATTATCATTCAGATTCCAGATGAAGGACTTCCTTGAGAATTTCTTGCAGGGCTGGTTGTGTGGTGGTGATCTCCAACAACTTTTGTCTGGGAAATATACTATTTCTCACCCATTGCAGAAGGAGAGCATTGCTGGGTAAAGAATTCTTGGCTGGCAATTTTTTCTTTCGGTATTTTGAATAATCATTCCACTTTCATCATTCCACTTTCTTCTGGCTTTTGAATAATCATTCCACTTTCTTCTGGCTTGTAGGGTTTTGGTTGAGAAGTCTGCTGTTAGTCTGATGGGGGCTCCCCTATAGGTGACTTGTTGCTTTTCTCTTGATGCTTTTAGAATTCTCTCTTTGTCTTGGAGCTTTGCAAATTTAACTATAATGTATCTTGTGGAGGATCTTTTTAGATTGAATCTGTTTGGGGACCTTTGAGTTTCCTGAATCTGAAGGTCTGTTTCTCTCCCTACACCTGGGAAGTTTTCTGTTACCATTTCCTTGAATAGGTTTTCAATACCTTTTCCTTTCTCCTCTCTTCTGGAATATCCACAGTTCAGATATCAGAGTGCCTGAGGTTGTCTTCTGTCTCTCTTAGATTTTCCTCATTATTTTTATTTCTTTTTTACTTTTTTTCACCTGCCTGAGTTATTTCAAAAAGACCATCTTCGAGATCTGAAATTCTTAATTCTGCTTGCTCTACCCTGCTGCTCAAGCTCTCTGTTGTGTTTTTTATTTCATTGAATGAATCTTTCATTTCTAGGAGTTCTGCTACACTCTTTTTTAAGGTATTAATCTCTTTGTACATTTCCTCCTTCACATTCTGGATGTTTTCTTGTTTCACTGTGTTCTCTAATTGAGTCTTCTTTTATTTCTTTGAATTTTCTTAAGGTCATTGCTCAGAATTCTTTTTCAGACATTTTAAGGATTCCCTGTTCCACAGAGTCTGAAATTTGAGCATTACTGTAATCCTTCTGTGGTGTCATATCTTCTTGTTTATCTGTAGTTATAATATTTTTTCATTGATATTTGGTCATTTGGTAGAGGTTTTGCTTCTTCTATTATACTGAGGTTGGCTATGAGGATAAAGATTTCTTCCTCTATTTGCAGGCTTTACTGGTGACTCTTCTGATATCAGTGTGGTTGAGTGAGCAGTAGATTACTGTGGAATGGCCCTGGTTGCTACTGTGGTGGTGAATTGTCTTTGCTTGACAGTAGGTGTGGTAGTGACTATATTACACCACCTTGAGTCCTGTTCCAGAATCTGTTGCCACAGAATGAGCCCCCAGCAGGTCTCCTCAGCTTACTTTGGTAGGGCAGGGCAGGCTACAGGTCCTGCCTCCCTCTGGGTCCAAGGAGGGGGAAGGGGTCGGTCGCACCATGCACGTCTCCTCAGAGAACATCTGGCGAACCTCTTCTTCTAGCCAGGGTCTTGCACTATCTCATTGGTCGGTGAAAACCTTGGCTCCCTAATGGGGGAGGATTATTTAAGCAGCATATAAATGAAACATAAAATGAAAAAAATCAAAACTAAATTCAAACAACCAGGTACAGGTTCTCATTGGTCGGTGAAAACCTTGGCTCCCTAATGGGGGAGGATTATTTAAGCAGCATATAAGTGAAACATAAAATGAAAAAAATCAAAACTAAATTCAAACAACCAGGTACAGGTTAAATTAACAGGAGGAAGCCAAAGCAGAAGAGCACAGAACAGACTTTAATTAGATTTAATGACATGAGGGATATGCAAGGCACTGGAATAATGTGATGGATTCTGCGGTGCCTCATCCAGGTCCCTCATCGGGACTGATGTGCCCACACCCAGCTGCTGGGAACAATGGTGCTGACGGCTCACAGCCGGACTGGGAATTGCCCCTCTGTCGCACATTGTAAAAGTTACTGTATATTCCCTCCCAGGGTGTCCAGTGATCAGTGATAGCCTGATGTGGGGATACAAAGTCTGGCCCCTCCCCCCAATTCAGGAAATTTTGAAGATTATTCCCAGCTCCCATGTTTCCCTATGGGATCTGCTGAGGGCTTCTGTTTCTACTACACTACAGGCTAGATTTTTCCCTCTGCCCCACTCTACCATCCCTGCTTCCCCACAGGTCTATCTCCTGATTAGAGTTGCCAGATAAAATACAGGATGCCTAGTTAAGTTTGAAGTTTAGATGAACAAATAGTTTTTAGTACAAGTGTGCCCCATGCATTATTTTGGACATATTCATTGTTTATCTGAAATTTAAATTTAGCTGGGTGTCCTGTATTTTCACTTGCTAAATGTGGCAACTCTACTCCTGAGAGTACTTCCTGATCCTGAGAGTACTTCCTGATAAAGCTTCTGCACACAACTTCTTATCTTGAGTCTTTTTCCAGGGAACCCAACCTAAGATTGTGAGGGTCACATAGAGTAACAGACAAATAAGGCACAATTTTTGCTTTCAAAGTCTGCTGTGGAGTGTTTACTAGTGCGATGCTGTCTAGAGCTTATTAGGAGTAGGTTTCTAAAAACTCAATTCTCCCTCCCTTGCACTCTTATCTTCATGCCTTATAATCCTCAGGTGAAAACCAATTCCCAATCCATAGGCAACAGGAACCAGAGATACTGGTTATGCCCAAATAATGAAGCAAATCAAGATACAATGACTCAGTCATTATTGGAATCCTCACTGCATTTTTCCTCATTCAAGATTCTCTTAGTCACATTGCATCACATACCTCATGATATCTTCTCTGTAGTTTTCAAAGTTAAACAAAAACATTAAACAGATGTCTGTGAGACCCCTACAGATAACTGCTTTGAAGTCATCACTCTTTTTAGAGATATCAGATGTAGATAACTTTCCTTCTATTTTGTGTATTTTTGGAGAAAAGCCAAGAAACTATTTAATAGGAAAATATAATCAAATGTTTTCTTTCATGAATTCCAAACATAGACTAAAAGGTATTTTAATGCTCAAGTTTAGTCTTTTTAATTGACTCAAGATTTACATCATATCATAAGAAATGTAAATAATAAAAATAATTTGAATTCTGGATTCCTAAATAAAATTTTGCCAAGTGTCACTCCACAGATCATTGCCCCCATATAACTACCCCAAACACTCTGGAAAATGGCTTCTTACATGGCATTTCAAACACTATAAACTTCTCTAGTGAGAGATCATGCATTATTTTTACATCCTAGGTTCACAAAGGCATTCAATATATGATCGCTTGAGTAGTTTCAGTTGTTTATTAAAATAAATATACGTGCCCACATGTCTTAGTCTGTTTGAGCTACTATAGCAAAATACTTAGACTGGGTGATTTATAAACAAAGCAGTTTATTGCTCACAGTTCTGGAGGCTGGGAAATCCAAGATCAAGGCACCAGAAGACACCCTCAAGCCTCTTTTATAAGGGCCCTAATCCCATTCATAAGTGTGGAGCCCTCATGACCGAATCACCTCCTCAAAGCCCCACCTCTTAATACTATTGTACTGGAGATTAGGTTTTAACATATGAATTTTAAGGGGGGACACAAGCATTCAGATCATAGCACCACAATAATTGGTTAGTGCTGTATTTTTAAGGATTGTACTATATATTTAAAATACTGATTAAGATTGTCTGGACAAATGTTGAAATTGAATGAATTATGGTAACATGAGCCAGGCATGTTTAGACTTAAAATTCATATTCTACTTTTTAAAATATTTTCTTACCTTCTTGGATTCTTTCCAGGTATATCTGCATATATTTATTCACCATTTGAATGTTCTTAATGACTTCATTCCATACCCACCATTTGCTGTGAAATCCATCAATCACATACCAATTCTGATGCTGTTCTTGATAATAGCTCCTAATCTCACCAATATTTTTGCGGTACTGTGCATTCTTGACAGCTGTAATCTGTGAACTGTTATGCAATGGATAAGGCAAACTAATAGAAAAACAGAGAAGGAATGGAAAAAGCTATTAAAAACATACTTTTTTCCCTGGATGATCAAAGTTCATTCTTTTATCATGTACATTACCTTCGTTCATTTCTTTTGTCTAGGAGCAATCTTTTGAAAATTTCCTTGGAAGGCACATGCAACTCAAAGATGATCATGGGAATGATTGACCTGGCTTCCAAGATATTTATTTGATCTTTAGTTACAGGGTATCCATCGATGACAACACTTACAAGGAGAAACATGAAAACAAAAATTCCACATTACTTTTCTCTTGTACTTTCCCTCTGCCTTCCAGAACCAGTCTATCTCTTTAGGAGCAGCTCCACGCTTTTCCCTACATAACTCGATTTATCTTCTTCACATTTCGTCTGTTCTTCTCTACATCTTCAATCTCAGTCAGCCCAAGAGCCATGAATCAGGCAGTATGCATAGGGACACAGTTCAGAAGGTGGTGGTAGGAGAGAGCTCTAAATTCCTCTACTTAGCATCATAGAGGTGGGCTTTGGCAGAATTTGAAAGATAATACACACAGTACATTCAACATTGTGTTCAATTGGTGCTATTAATCTAAGCATGAAACAGTAGAAAGAGTATAGGTTTCAGAGGCAGACAGAGCTAGATCTGAAACCTGATTTGAATTCTCTGAGCCTTAGTTTTCAGTAAAACAGGTGAAATGATGTTTAACACTTAGAGTTGTTTTAAAGATTGGAGATCAGGTGTGTAAAGCAATTAGAACAGGGCCTGGCACATATTAGATGTTCAATACATAGTCTCTAAGTAAAAGACTAAGCAAATATGGGAAAATTGTTTTCTGAGCTTGCATTTACAGTGAATGTTCTGTGAGCAGGTTGGGGATATGGGGGGGGGGGAGTGGAGAGTTGGTGACAGAAGCCCTGTAATATCTGATGGGCAGGAATCATTCCCTCAGGACCCATCATGCATGCCTTGGAGAATTTAAGTTGGTCCCAGGGTCTGAGATAATGATGCTGTTATTATCAAACTGAGAGAAGGAATAAAGGATGTTCATAAACTCTGGGAGGAGCAGCCCCCAAAGTCAGGAAACTCACTATGAAGTGGGAGCCCCTGGGTGTGCTGCTTGATGGTCACCAGCGAGGGTCATTTGGCATAAGTCACAGCACACCCTCCCTCCATGCTCTCCAGCTAAACCTCTGGGCACTTGTTTTGAGTTCCACAGCAGAGAGGACCATCAGTTAACATAGCTAGGCTAGCCCAATAGAGAATGTGTAAGGTGCCATTGTTGTTTTTCTGACATACAGTAGCTCGACTTGTCCTATGAAGGGTCACTTGAGTGGCCTTCAGGATTAGGGAAATTCAGAGTGAATGAGCAGTCAATGTCCTGATATTAAGGAAATAAAATCTTTGTGATTCAACCAACACTGCCCTTACTGAGGTTCCCTCCTAGCAAAGCTGAATGACAAGGAGGAGGCAACTCAATTTGGATAAATTCAGGGTTTCCTTTAGGAAAAAAGTCTGATATCCCAGAATCTGCTCCCCCATAAGTGAAGTTAGAAGATCTGTTCAAGGACTTAATTAAGGGCTAGTGGCAAGGAAGGGCAAGGATCTCCTAATATGAAACAACTGTGAGTAAATCAGGGGGATTCTAGGCCGGTAGCCTGGGCTCCAGAGCAGGGCCTTAGGTTTCATGGGGGTCATTGTGGTTACAACTGGGGTGGCCGGTGTCTGTGCTGGTGGAGTGATGGTTGAGCAGAGGAGTGTATACAGAAGAGACGGCTTATGCACTAGCTCTCTTGTCCAGATAGGGTGTTTCATTCAGGGTGGGGCACAGCTGCCTGTGCAGAGAGCTGGGCCAGAGAGTGACCATCTCCATGGGACAAGCACCATTTAGGGGACAGGGGAGAGCTGCTCCTCTATCATTCCACGGGGCAGTGAGAAACACTACAGGGGTGCAGAAATCATATCAGCCTCCACTGTGGACTCTGTTAGCCTGGAGACTTTTGGACAATTCAGGGTTTGCTACAGGGAGTAAAGGGGCCCTCCTGCTAATCTGCTATGTGAACATTCAAGCCAAGTTTTGGCTTGATGGAAAATTAAAATAGGTCATCATATAGGTACCCAATGTTTGAGTAGATCACACCCTTCACCAGAGCTTGCAACCCTATTTAAAACATGTGTTTTAAATCACCAATGAGGAGTTTCTTGAAAGATTTAACTCCCTCTGCCCCTCCTCTCACCACACTCACTCACCCTGCAGTGCTGCATGGGCTGTCCATAAGAACAAGCTCTAAGGCTTGAATGGCCAGTTCATTGGGTGCTGTCATTCCTTTATGAAGATGCCAATTTAGCATAAGTGCCAGCTCTGTTTCTGGGTGGTAAGTTAATATATAACGCAAAGCTTCTCCTACTGACAAATGCTTTAAGCCATATTCACTTGCAAGTTTTTTGGCAACTGAAAAACATAAAACCTTAAACTTATTTCACAAATTCATCAGTTAACCTTAGTTTAAGATTCTGGGTAATGACTTCAACAGCCAGCTAATCTTCACGTTCTTCAAAGAATTTTCAGAAATTGCCAATTTGTTGATCTCTGGTCAAGACAGCAGAATAGACAGTTCCAAGCATCACTCTCTCTCACAAACCAACCAATTTACAACTATAAAAAAGCAACAACAGCCAAGCTGGGGCCACTAGAGTTCAGGGTAAGATGCGAAGAGACCTACAGAGTGCATGAGGGCAGGAGAAGCCTTGATGAGAGAAAGAAAAAACTGCTCCGACCATTTTGTGCCATGGCTGCTTTAAGGCTGTAGCTGCTGTGTGCATGGAGCAGGAGCTGGCAAAAGCCACAGCTGTGCCCTTTGGATGGAGTTGCTTGGAGGCGGCAGGGGAGAAGAAGGCCTTGGTGGCCCCCAGGACAGCAAGACCACTAATAGGGTTCCTGTGGACCCAGATAGGAGCAAGGAGCCACAACAACTGAAAAAAAGGAGCCACTCAGAGGCCAGTGAGTCATTGCAAGGGACCAGCACATGGCCCATCCCATGGGAAGTGTTTACAGCACTGGTGGTGGGAGAAATGGGCCCACCAGGGAAACACTGGGGCACAGCAAGGACAGTGGATCTACCCCCCAATCAGCATAGGACCACTCAGAGGAGATGGGTCAGGAATATAGAATTGCATGGGGTGCCGTTTGATGAAAAGACTCCGTCCAAGAACAGAGTTTCAGGTGCACCGGGTCCCTGGACAGCCGGAAGTACTTATAAAGTCAACCATTAAAACCTGAGCTGCACAAAAAGCCTTCCCTAGGGAAGAAGCAGCAATTTAGCTCAACCACAGGGCTCAAGTACTGGTCCCAACAGGAAGTTCCCCCACTTTAGAAGTAAGCAAAGGACGAAAAATTAGTTCCTGCTCAGGCACACCGCCAGTGCCTTGGGGCCCACCCGGGGACCCAAGGTATGGAGCTGGGGACCAGACCCCCCCACCTCCCACAACCAGGCACACTGCCAGTGCCAAGGAGCATGCTCAAAACATTAGCTCCATGTGGGTGGCCCACCACAGCCACCACAATAACCACAGCTGCCGTGAAAGTGGCTAGACACCACAACCACCACACAGATGGTCTGCCAGCCCCTGGAGTGCATTGACACAAAGAGAGTCACCAGCAGAAACCAAAAAAAAAAAAGAGGATGTCCCTCTCCACAAAGCCCATTCCAGAGTGACGAAAGAAGCATCTGCTCTATGATAATATTGGGGGACCTGAACATACCTCTCAGCATTGGACAGATCATCTAGGCAACAAATTAACAGAGCAACCATTACTCTTTCAGAAAGAGACAAGAAATCTAGGATAATTAGAGGATGGAATAGGGAGGGAGAGGGAGATGTGGAGAGATTGGACAAGGGGCATAAAGAATAAGTACAATTTGTAACAATATATATGCTAGTAATATTGATTCAATCAACATATTTCAATGTTGAACCCCCAAAATATGTATAATCAATTATGATTTAATAAAAATTAAAATAAATAAAATAAAATAAAATTGCCACATTTTACTGAACGAAACCATCAAAGGTCAGTCATTATTTGTACTTTAGTTATTTATGAGCCAACTCTGTGGTTTTTGTTTTTTTCATAACCAAACCAGTGTTTGAGTGTTTTTTTCCTTCTGCATGGGTTAGCAAAATTTTTGAGAGCTTTGCAAGACATCCTATCTATCTTAATATTTGGTATTATGTCCAAAATAACAATGTAACCCTCCTGTTTCACTGGATTGTAACATTCTCCCATCTGTCTATTACTGATTTCATGCCACAATCAGGACAGCATACCCTATACAGTTAGGTCTCATTAATCTTCTAGGATTAATAATTAATCCAGGAAATATTTTAAAAATAATTTTTAAAAATTATAATAAAATTTTTATAGTGATTTATAGCTTATGAGCCAATTTTTTTTCTGTAACCTCATTTGATATTTTCTTTCTTTCTTTTTCTTTTTTTTTTCCTATATAGGATCCGAACCCATGGCCTTGGTGTTACCAGCACCACACTCTCCCAAGTGAGCCACGGGCCAGCCCCTTGGTATTTTCAACTATTCCATCAGATGGGTGAAATGTGAAAATCCAGGTTTATAGAGGAGGGGAACTGAAGCCCATGAAAACAGAATGATTCGTCTAGGGTCACACAGTTGTAGCCATTGGCTAAAAAAGCACTCTCACTGGCTTCTCTTGAGTGGGACTATACACAAATGGCTTCAAGTAACTGTTGAATGTGGACGTGCTCAGATGAGGTCTATGGCCCTGCTTGAGCACTGTTTGGAGGCAGGAGTAGGTAGAGGATACTGAGAGAGCTCATCTCAACGCACCACGAATGTGGGTTAACTGACCAGGGACCACAGTCAGACCACACAAAAGGGAAGCCCTGTGAAAGCTGCAGAGCCCTTAATCTCAGCCTTATTTCAAATGCTGGAACTAGACCTATTTTTTTAAAAGTTCTAGAAATAAGCTATTAAAATTTGACATCTAATTTAGAAATTAACCTCCATTTCAACAAAGAAATGAAGAATCAGATTGTTTTGTTTACATTTTCACCTTTTGGTCTGGATGTGGGATCTTATTTTGAATGTCAATCTTCTGCTGTCTTTGGGAAATATCATCATCTTTGTGAACATTTAGAATACAACTATTATAAACTGTTCTGTCGTGTTAAGAAGTTTAAGTGGGCAAAACAAACTTCTCATCTGACTAGCTGAAACACAAAACTCCTTTGTTATTCCTGGTGGCAAATTAACCTTTGACTTTGTCCCTCCCTTTTACTCTCCTTTCAGTCAGTCAGTCATTAAGACTTACTGTTTTCCTTCCAAATATGTCCTATATCTGTCCTTTCCATTCTGTTCTCATTGTGACTAACCACTGTTGTTATCATATCATCTAGAAATATTATAGCCAACCAATTTTTAGACTATTTGCCTTGGAAAAAACAAAAACAAACAAAAAACTACAGTCAAAAGTTATATAAAATTAAAACATGAAAGAAATACAGTTTATCGAATATGTTGGGGCTCAGAAAATGATACCCCAAAGTGAAGCAGCCTCAAAAGAAAACTTTTCCTGGGTCCTTCTGCCCTCCTATCTCTCAGCCTCACTCTCCCCTGAGGTGGGTAACAGAAACTAGAATCTCTCTTCCCTGAGGTGGGCCAGAGAAACCAGAATCCCTTTCCCCAAAGCCAGCCATAAGACTAAAATTATACTCTAATCTTCCCCCTGCCTTTCAGGCTTGGAGCTGTCCATATAGAAACTCTCCGACCTACCTTGTCTGATTGTGAGTCATAAGACCCCCATTCCAGAAAGGGTCCTGTCCCATACCCTGGAGGAATGAAGGTCACACAGATACACCACGAAGGATCTGAATAGACAGGCCTTGCTGGGTTTCCCCACTCAGTCTGTTAGGGCTAGATCATACTTTTCTTGTCTAATCACATTTCTACATAGCTGTCCCTGCTTCAGGAAACCTAAGCATAAAAATGGATAGTTTTCCTTATATCTTTGGGTCTTCATCGTGAAGGTTCTTGTGGCACATAAAACTATGATCAAAGAAAATTTTTTAGGCCTTTTCTTCATATTAATCTGTGTTTATCAGTGGATTTTTCTGAGAACCTTCAGGGGGTTGAAAGGTAAGTCTTCCCTTGGCCCATATAAATGCCTTTTCAGCAATGATTAAGATAATTGGGGCTGACCCCGTGGCGCATTCGGGAGAGTGCGGCGCTGGGAGCGCAGCAGCGCTCCCGCCACAGGTTCGGATACTATATAGGGATGACCGGTGCACTCACTGGCTGAGCGCGGTGCGGCCGGTCACAAAAAAAAAAAAAAATAAAAAATAATTGATTTTTACTTTTTAAACTATTAATATAGTAGATTATATTTAAAATCTTTTCATATAATTTTATGCTAATACAATTTTTTAAATATACAGTTACAGTCAACTTTATAATATTTTATTTAGGATACTTGACTATAATTGTAAATGACATTAGTCTGTCATTTCTATTCTTGCATTATCTTTGCTATGA